GGCGCGCACCACATTCAATGTGACATTTTTGTTTTGTTCCATTCAATGGAACCAGCAGTTATGCACTGTACACATTTGTCATAAACGACTGCCTGTGAATGTTTAATTGCGCGACGCACAATGCTTTTCGAGTACATACATGGATACATAACCATCCATCGCCATCGGAGTCATATATCAGTTAGCGGCAGTCTGGCTTTAATTTTTGTTTGTTTAGCTGTTGAATTTGAGCTGCTCACTGCACTTCTACAGTCTACAGGCAGTGGAATCGACCCTCTTTCGATTGGGAGGGTATAGACTAGCACGCCAACAGCGGCAACGTGGTGGCTGATGAAATTGATGGGTGATGAGTGCGTATCGAAAGAAAGTCCCATGATAAGATATTTGATTGACATTTTGAGTTTCAGAACAAGACGATAAACAACTCCACAAGTCGTGGGAGATAAATTGGTCAACTCTCCCGGAGTAATCTAAAAAAAATCACCGGAAAGGTCTTACACGTATTATGTTCTTGTAGTAGTTAGGGTTTGTCCTCAAAGTTGTACAAAGCCCGCTGTGTTTGCTCTTTTGAAGCTCAACAAGTCTAATATAGGTACGATATAACCCCTAAGCCTCCGAACCCGTTCTTAAAATTCTATATATTTACTAGGGTGGTTCAATATTTTGATTTTCCTCCACCCCACTCAATCGATTCATGAGTTCACTTGGTTGCGAGCTCATTACATGGAATACACTTTGGGAAAAGTGAACTTTTTGTTCACCTCGTCCTAAACAGTAAAGTAAAATTAGTCCGGAATAATTAACCCTTCGTCTGTACCTCTAAAATAAAGCTAAGTTCATTGCGAAAATCCTTCAAAACAAGTATTAAATAAAATTCGAAATATGTCTCAACTAAGAGGCAGGCATATCAGCAAGACTTTAGCATGCAAGATTGTCAGAGAAAAGAATCGTTTTGATGAATAATCAAAAGATTGAACAAATTGCCTGGGGTCATATTGACCCAAAGATACAGACAAAGGGTTAAGAATTTTTTAATAGAAAATGTCATCTTGGGGAGCAACTCACTTATGCGAAAAGTTTCATTCAAATCGAAGAGAGTTATGTCCAACCGATTTGCTAATTGGCGTAGAAATGCTCTAAGTATTCCTCGTCGACCAAACCCAAAACATTAACTTAATTCACTCTGTAACTGGTCATACTTCGCGCCAGAATTTGCTTCAATTACTCACTATAATCTCTTTAAAATTGCCTTGAATTATTCCTCAGAATTCCATTGGTATACCCTTTAAAATTCTCTTGGAATTCACCTCAGAAGTTCTGTGTGTGTATGTTCTACACGGCCAATGAGAACGACCCAAATTTGAGTTTACTTTGCTCATAAATCACATAAAATGCAGGAACAGTAAATTTACCTCATGTTTTTCCAGGTTTGTTCAGGAAAGTAATGCCAAATATGAGAAAAGTAAATATTAGATCAACTTAGTCTATTGGTAGTACTCCTAGACTGGGTAAAATTTTCGTCAATTTTCCGGCTTTCCACAGAAAATCATGAGGCAAACTTACTCATCGCTGAGTTGCTGCACTTTTGGCGATTATGAGTAAAATAAACTCAAATTTGGGTCGTTCTCGTTGGCCGTGTAAAGTATCTTGGAATTTTCCAAAAAAAATTTCTTGAAATTCTCTAAACATTAACCTGAAATTCGCTTGGAATTACCCTCAGAACTCGCAAGGAATGCACTCAGATATTATTGAAATTATCCTCAAAATTACATGACTTTTCTCCTCGGAATTCCCCTGAAGTTTTCCTTAGAATTCTCTTGGAATTCCGTTCAGAATTTTCATCCTCAGAATGTTTAACTTTGTTTAATATTCCCTAGGCGCGCTTCAAGATATAGATGGAACTTTTCGTAGAAGGAAATTTCCCTACAGATGGATGTTGATCGTTGTTAAGTATTAAGTGTCAAGTCATCCTCATAATTCCATCAAAATTATCATTGGAATTTTTTTGAAACTCTTCTCACAATTCCCTTGAAATTCTGCTGAGAATTCTTATCGACTTCTTTTCAGAGATCCTATATAAATCTTCTTATAATACCCTAGGAATAGTCTCAGATATTTCTTTAAATTCTCTCAGAATTGCCTTGACATTATCCTCAAATTGTTATTAAAATTCAACTCGGTATTAATTTGAAACCCTCTCCAAAATTCCTTTTTTTCAATTTCATTTTCATTTACATTGAAGTCTTTTTCGAATTCTCATCATTCTAGGAATATTCTTCAATTTATACTCAGAATTTCCTTTGGAATACGGAATAAGCTTCATTATTACTTTCAACACTCCGAACACGATGCCTCCGGTAAAATGTGTAACGGCAAACTCACAATGTTTGAAAAATCATAGCTCAGCCATTTATTGATAAATTTTAAATCTACTGGCTCAATTTGAAACTACATACTTCAAAGATTTATTTGGTATTCATAGATTTAAATTCTATCGATAAATTGCTGAGCAATTTAATTTAATTGCAGATTTTTCTAACATTGCCAATTTGCTGTTACACATTTACCGAAGGCATTGTGTTCGGAGTGTCAAGATTTATGAGAAAGCCATAAAAATAAATCTCCCTACATACCAGTCGAACAACCTAATAAATTACTATTACGTTAACTTCAGCATTCCTTTTCTCCACGAAAAACCTTTGGAGGTTTATTTTCAATGCATCTGGAATTCTCTTCACAATCCTCATAAAAACTTTCGTCCGAATCATCTTGGAACTCTCCGTAGACAGAGTTTTATTGGAAGAATTACCTTGGAATTCTCTCCAGAATTCCCTCAAAACACCCAACAAACTGTTCTCAAAATTCCATTAGAATTATCTCTCGAATACCTTATAAATTCTCCTTATAATTTCTTTTGATTTGTCATTGGAATTTTCGTGAAAATTCAACACCCTTGAACATACTGTATCTTTTGAAATATTGCACCTAGGAGTGAAAAATTTCGCTAAGGTATAGCTGGGAGCAGTGATGGCATAATCCTCACTCAAATGATTTTGTTTCGCTCTCAAGGGCTCGCAATATCACGCATGATATTGGAATAAAATATCAAGCCTGATATTGTTTTTACAAGCTCCTTTGATATTGCGAGACTATTCAGAACATGTAAAATTGCAGCCACGAGTTGACTTACCACAAAAATGATTCCTTTGCACATCGTTTTCTTAGAAAGAGAAAGCATAGTTTGCTATCTATTTCTCTACGCTTCACAGATGGCAGACACGAAGTTACTGCTGCCAGCAGTGATGGAAGTTTCGTTTCGTGTTCGGATGTACAGCAAAGTCTCGAAGCTCAAACTCAACACAGTTTTATGGGAATTGTAGCCGGGGAGTTTTGTTAGCATGATATCATAGCAACCGTATCACAGCTTGTAATATCATCGGCTGTTGTTTGCGTGTTGAGTTTTTGGTTTACGATACTCAAATGAGATTATGCACATTGGTGAGATTTAATCTTTTGATATTTTCACAACACTGCCTGGGAGTCATTGATGAAAAAGACTATGATTGGTGTTTACATTCGAGATGGCGACGAATGAAAAACACGTGCGCGAGCGAATTTTGTACGGACGTAATGCAAATTCTAACTTGTCAATACGGGAACTTGCAAAACAAAATTGGATTCACCTAAATCCACTGTTCACGGTGTGCTCAAATCATTTTCGGAACGTTTGACGGTCGAGAGGAACCCGAGAAGGGATAAACGCATTGGACGTGCTGATCCTGTCATGGACCGAAAGGTGAAGAGGATATTGAAGGAAAACTCAAATCTCCCTGCTCGAACGGTGGCTCGTAAAATAGGAATGTCACCTGGTTATGTCAAAAAATCAAAACAGCGTTTGCGGCTGAAGTCGTAAAAAGTAAAAACAGTTCCAAATCGCAACGACAACCAGAATTTGACAGCCAAATCACGGACTCGATGTTTGTACTGTGACAAATACATACTTGACGAAGTTTTCATGTGTTGTTAATGACGATGAAACTTATGTCCTGGAGGATTTCAAGCAACGTCCAAGGCTGGCTTTCTATTATGCTATGGCCAAAAATGCTTTCGTCACTACAAGCACAATCAACAAGGAGATTTACCAGAAAGAGTGCCTGCAAAAGCGATTGCTGCCCTTCATCAAAAGCTACAAAGAAAACCCTTTGTTCTGGCCCGATTTGGAATCATTTCATTATGCTAAAACTGTGATGGAGTGGTACGAAGCAAATCAAGTACCAAAAACCGCAAATCCGGCAAATTTTCCAGAGTTACGTCCAATCGAGAGATATTGGGCTCTGATGAAGCGGAAGCTTTCTGGAAAGAAACAAGGAATCAAAGATATCAAACACTTCCAGCAAATTTGGGCAAAGACGGCCACCACGGTATTTGAGGAGTCTGAACAAACCCTAATGGATGGAGTTAACTACAATTGAAATATAAAGCGAAATTTGTGTTTAACTTAAATTTTGATGTGTCCGGATTATTGGGGATACCGACCTTAGTCCGACATCCTGAATATTTTTGGTTATCCCAGATTCTTCAAATAATGTAACTCATAATTCTCGCTAACCACAGCACCGAATTGGAGGCAATAACCGTGAAATGAAAGGTGCCATATAATGCTATTGAACATCTTAGGAATAGGTTAACTGGGTTCAGGAGATATCACCGGATCACAGGAGAACATGTTCCGGTTAGTATGGATCGTAAGACTAGAAACGACCAGAAACGTGCCAAATATCATGCGACACCTGAAAACATGAACCGATAGCAAGTCAACGGCCCACATTTGTCAGATCCGGATCAAGGGAATCAACATAATCCGATGTTTTGCGATGGTAGAAACTCTAGTAAACGAGATCATGATCAGTGTACAATTGAGATCATGCGGGTTATCATTTGATTATTTCAGAATTCTACCACCATGCAGCGGTAGTGTGCATGTGAATTTCAAGTATAGACTATATCTCGAGGTCCAAACCAGTTACTGTCTGCGGAAAAATTGATTAGATAGCCAAAATCTTTAAATTGTGATTCCACTACGCGCCACCAGCGTGCATGCAAAATATTAAAGTGTGTGATATTTTGAGATCTTGACTATGTGGGAAGTTGCTGTCTTCGGCAATGTTGTTCAGATAGCCAATGCCTTTCGAATTGTGATAGAATAATACAGGATTCTGCCACTTGGTGGCGCTAGTGTGCATGCGAAACTTCAAAGTATGCTAAATCTCGAGATCCTAACCAGCTAGGGGAGTTGATGACTTCGGAAAACTTGATCTGGTAGTCAAATCTTTTCAAATGATTAGTTAATCAGTTAAAAATTATATCGGCACTTGTGTTTATGTGAAATTTCAAATATAATCCGTAATCCTGATTATCTGAAAAAATGCTGTGGTGGCCAAGTTAGTTAAAAATTCACCCACAGCGCTGGAAACAAGGGTATACTAAAGCTGTCAAATCCTCTACATTCATGCTGAACTTAACATGTCTTCGATTTTGACGTGCTGGTTCTATGGGACCTGACGTTTTGGTGCTGAGTCCTATTATGAATCAATGGAAAAATTTACAGGTTGCTTGGATATTCTACGTTCATGTTGGTTTCAAACGCGTGTTAAGTAATAGCCTCCTGGTTGCAATGGTGTAAACGGACATCGATAATGTACTAGGGGAAATGGCTCTAATGTTGGCCTATGGATCTAAGATTGGGCCCATCGCTAAAAATCAGCTATTTATCCATTTTATCTAGACGAACGCATCATTGGGACGGTACTAATGGATGCTTTGGTCGCTATTGAAAATTTAGTCGATTGCTGAATTAGGGGAATTTAGGCCAACATTACATCCATTTCCCCTATGTCTTGAGATTCTGACCATCTGGGAAGTTGCTGTTGCCGGCTAAAATGTTTCAGTTACCTAGGCCTTCTGGATGAAATTTTGTGAATATTCAGCTGATATGTTTGCCATGTGAAAAACGTTGAATATCATAACTCGAGATATAGCACATTTTGGTAGTTCATATGAACCTTAGCGCAACGTAATTGAGTGATTTTTTGTATTAACCTGCCCGCCATGTAGAAGACCTTGGTTATCTGAAGAACCGAAGACAGCAACTTTCCATATGGTCAGGATCTTGAGATATGGAATAAACTGGAACTTTACATGTATACAAGCGCCGCGTAGTGGCAGAAATCTAGTTATTTTAACAATTTTTGCCGAAGTCAGCAACTTCCTAGATGGCTAGGATCTCGAGATATTGCATTTACTTGAAGCTCCTAGGCGTATAAGCGCAGCGTAGTGGGAGAATACTGTACTAATCTGCTCACTATTTGGAGCTAAGCAGTTTAGGCTTTGGTTATCTGCAACTGCGCCGAACACAGTAACTTCCCAGTTAGTTAGAATCTCGAGATATAGGTGTTTAAAGGGCGAACACGAAATTATTGCGACACCGAAAATGTCATGCCAATTTTCTTATAATGTTTAGAATCAAACCAAAATTTTAGGGTAGGGGTACTGGGGGTAAGACGGACACCCTAAGGATTTGCTCAGTTTTATCTACGCTGAATGCAATATTTTGCCTGCAATCTCAGTATTCTGTAGGTTAAACGTATGCTTTGAGAAACTACATGCCTTAATTTATTTGAAGTTACGAAATTTAATGATTAATTTTGAAATTAAAAATAGTGTAATAATTCATAATTTGAGTTAGGTGTGGGTAAAACGGACAGGTGGTGGGGGTAAAATGGACAGGTGGTGGGGGTAAAATGGACAGGTGGCGGGGGTAAAATGGACAGGTAGTGGGGGTAAAATGGACAGGTAGTGGGGGTAAAATGGACAGGTGGCGGGGGTAAAATGGACAGTCTTGTAAATTTAATTTTTCTCTATTTTAAAAATTATGCAATGCATTCTCTGAATGTGACACATTTAAAGAAAGATGGTTTTTACGATGATGGTGTTTATTGCTCTCCTTACAGTAATTATTCTTATGACATTACAGAACGGTAGTGCTCCAAAAATAGCGATAAAGTTAAATGCTTAGGTACAGGTATAATGGATTAATTTTCACATTGTATGTACATGTCATGTAAATATAACAATAACATACTAAAAAGGAACCTTATGAACTTGTTTAGGTGCAGGAGGGACAAATAGTATCAACCTTACTGTAGCATTGAGCATGGAACCACTTCAAGCACTTCAGGCATTTGTTCCAGCCTTGCCCTTCAACTGATCCAGAAAAACAAAATCCACATAGTTCGCATAGAACATCTTCAGGATGGCTGTCCACTTTTTGACGTTTAGTAGACGATTGTTTCTGGCCCTTTTTGATTGATTTAATTTCCTTCAAAGCCTCAGCTGTTGCTAGACCTTGGCGATAATGTCCAGAAGTGATTTCTACCGCTTTTTCTGATTTGCGTTTTCTCTTTGATGCTCTCGGTACTGCCATTTTTGGTAGCGGACGAATCTGCGACGGTGACACCTCGAACGAAGATTTCGGAGGAGTTTCAGAAACTTGACTCAGGGCGTTATTTCTGTTTTCGGGATTACCTGAAGAAGTACCAACTGTATATGGTTGTTCTTCGGCCGAGTCGTTCAACACGACGATAGCCGAGTTTTGCATAGGCGTACCACAATGTTGCACATCCGTTGAATCAGTTGCTTCAGGCTGGTCGGTCACTTCGGATGGCGCGAAGGCTTCGTCTGGAAATACTGTTCGATCTGCCGGCCATATTCCGGACTTTTTGAAACCGTTGATGGCCACGCTTGTAGTGGCGGCTTTTACAAACGCAGTGCCCATCAATTCGGCTACGTCATATTGACCGATGTTACGTCCCGGATATTTCCGCATGAAGGCTTCTGCTGCACTCGCGTAGTGGATTTTAAACGGCCCCATGAAAGAGATGTCGAGTGGCTGCATTTTATTGCTGCAGTGTGGTGGTAAAACCAACACTGTTACAAAATTCGCTCGAGCTCTTTCTGCGAACGCCAAGTTCTTCGTATGCGAACTATGACCGTCTATGATCAAAAGAACGGGATTGCTCACAGTTGGGTGCACATTTTCCAGGAAGTGCTCAAACCAATCCAGGAAGATATCTGCGGTCATGTATCCAGAAGGGTTACAAGAGAACTTGGTTCCACTTGGCGCTCCCTTTTTTAACGATTCGTGCATCCGTGCCCTAGCAAATATAACGTAGGGTGGCAGGTGATGACCAGCCGCAGACATGCACATAACTACTGATGTCGTGTCTCCTCTATCTGCCGACGTGATGGAACCCACCTGCTTCTTCCCCTTTTTTGCTGCTATTTTCTGTTTCTTGGGAGGGACCTAAAATATTACAGTAAGTGTAAGTTTCAATTATAAGAAAATTGTAAAAGAGCTTACGGTACTGATCCCGGTTTCATCTGCGTTGTATATACGCGAAGGCGGGAACCCTTTGTCGGTCAATGTTGCTTCCAGCATATCAAAAAAAGCATTCACAGAGGGTTTATTGAACCCTCTGGCACGTGCCGTAGATGTCGCTTCCGGTTTGCGGAAGGATAGAGTTGGATTCCGCTTTAAAAATCCGTGAAGCCAGTCTCGTCCCGCTAGCTGCTTCTTTCTGTTGAACGAATGGGGTATCCCATTCTTTTCCGCCAACTCATACGCGAGCTTCTGCACGTCCGTCATATTAATTCCGTAGAACCGCGATTCCAGATCATGCAGGTGCCGAACAAGTTCCTGTTCTTGCTCAAGCGTGAAAACAGTAGATTTCGGTCCCATCTTCTTGGGCACATCTGGTGAGGCGATCCGCCGGATGAGAGTACTTCGTGGAATCTGATACTTCGCAGAAGCTCCATACACGGACATGCCACAATCGATGGCATGCCTAGCTGTAGCTAATTGCGCTTCTGTCCAGGACTTCCGGCTTGTTTTACGCTTGTATACACGCGGCATCTATAAAAAAAATTAAACCACTGTAATATTAACTGCGTATTATAAGATATCAGCACTGTTCGTCTTGCCCCGGGAGAGACTGTCCGAATCACCCCACTGGTAAGTTATTTATGAAAGTGCCAGTGCACGCACTCCAGATAACAAAATTTACCTACTTACTTCATCCAACAAAACAACCGGAATTGAACCAGGAACAGAATGACAACACGTTTTTTATGTATTTGACTGTTTATAAGCAGAAAAACCTTAAAAATTCAACACCGAAATTAACATCGCTGCGTTGCGCGAGCAAGCTAGATTTGTTTTTGTTTATATTTTTACATTTGACAGTTCCTGCACATAGCAGGGTGTCTCGAAAGGCATTCAATGTTGTGAATGAAGGGTGGGTGTGATAATTTTTCAAAAAATCAAAAGATTAACATGCAAACAAGCAACTGTCCGTCTTACCCCCACTGTCCGTCTTACCCCCAGTACCCCTAGTTTTATACATATATTTACTTCAAAAATCAAAAGAAAAGTTAATCGATGGAGCCTTGAGTGTAAAATTGAACGCATTTTCGCTTGATGCCCTCCATCAAAGTCTTTACAGTGTCATCCGGTACCAGTTTCTCAGTTTTTTTTTTCCATTTTCTTAACATGTCCTTCTCGTCTTTGACTGTCTTCTTGCTCTTCCGAAGTTCCCGCTTCATTATTGCCCAGTACTGCTCCACCGGGCGCAGCTCCGGACTGTTTGGCGGATTCATGTCCTTTGGAACAAAATTGACAGAATTGGCCTCATACCACTCCAGGACACTTTTAGAATAGTGGCATGATGCCAAATAGCGGAGCTTCGTCGTGCTGCTGCAAGAACGGCAAAAGGCGCTTCTCGAGGCACTCAGATTTGTAGATCTCGCCATTTACTGTGCCCTTTGTCACGAAAGGCTCACTCCTCAGTCCGCAAGAGCAGATGGCCTGCCAAATGAGATATTTGGAGGCGAACTTTGACATTTTCTTCTTCTTAAATTTGTCGTCCACATCGAACTTGCTCTTGCCGCTGAAAAACTCCAACCCCGGAATTTGCTTAAAATCGGCTTTTATATACGTTATATAGCCATATTTTGTCAGCATCTTCTCGTAGAGCTTCCGTGCCCGAGTTTTAGCCGTCGATTGTTGCCGCTCATCGCGGTTTGGGAAGTTCTGTACCTTGTAAGTATGTAGTCCAGCTCTCTTCTTTGCATTCTGGACGTAGCTCTGCGACATGCCGATCTTTTTAGCCAAATCACGGCTTGAGACGTTGGGATTTGCTTTAATCATCCGCTTCACCTTTCCCTCCGTCTTTTTGTTCTCCGGTCCCGGTTTTCTTCCAGCTCCTTTGCCGTGGTCCAACGTCAACCGCTCCTGGAACCGCTTCAACACTCTGGAGACGGTTGAATGGTGAATGTTCAACATTTTTCCCAACTGCCGGTGCGACAGGTCAGGAAATTCCAGGTGTTTGGAAAGAATTTGTTCTCTCAACTCGCGTTGGTTCACCTCCATTTTCGTTGAATCGAAAAACACGACTTCGAGTTTGACAGCATGTACATAATACACATCAATGGAAAAGTGTGCAAAATTTGGTTGATTTTTACCCAATGGTAAAAAAGTTATGCACTGTTGAATGTGTCGCAATAATTTCGTGTTCGCCCTTTATGTGTTCGATAGCGGTGCGTAGGGAAAAAAAATATTAATTAGCAAGTTCACTATGTAGAAGGTTACCTGAATATGTTTGTTGAAGACAGCAATTTCCTAAACGGTTGGAATTTCGATATACACACTTAGTTTTTTCTACCGAGCTCAGCTATGCAAATCTCGGCAAAAATAAGTTTCACTGAGGTCTCGGAAAAAGTGACATTTGATTGCTGAGTCTAAGATAATGCGTAGTTGAATCTCAGCCAACAAATGAAATGTTTGCTGAGATCTCAGTAAAACTTTTTTTTGCCGAGATTTGCACAGCCGAGTTCGGTAGAAAAAAAACTTAGTGTGTATAGCATTTACGGGAAGTTCACAAGCACACTAGGGCCGCGTAGTGGCAGAATTTTGAACTATTCTGTTTTCCCCATTTAAAAGACTCTGGTTAAGATGAACGTTTCCAGGAGCTCAGAATCTCTAGGTATAGCAGAGCTTATAGGACCAACATTAGGAAGTTCCACAACTCGAAAAAATTATGCCAATTAATGGCTGAGGAACTTAATAATTTACTTTGTAATTAAACCATAAAGTAATAAATTGTCCAGTAAAGTCTAGTCGTCGTGCGGCATTCTTACGACGTGGCCAACCCACCGTAGTCGCCCAATTTTTGCAATGTGCACGATGGATGGTTCTCCCAGCAGCTGGTGCAATTCGTGGTTCATTCGCCTCCTCCACGTTCCGTCATCCATCTGCACTCCACCGTAGATGGTACGCAACACCTTCCGTTCGAAAACACCAAGGGCGCGTTGGTCCTCCACGAGCATAGTCCAGGTCTCGTGGCCGTAGAGGACCACCGGTCTAATCAGCGTCTTGTAGACAGTCAACTTCTCCGGAGTCCAAAGTAGGCACGATTCCCTGCCATAATGCGTCTTTGAATTTCTCTGCCGGTATCATTTTCGGCGGTCACCAGTGAGCCCAAATACACGAACTCATCGACCACCTCGATTTCGTCACCGTCAATCTGAACTCGGGGTGGGAGGCTAACATTGTCTTCCCTAGAACCTCTTCCTTTCATGTATTTTGTCTTTGATGCGTTGATGGCAGTCCAATCCGCCTAGTTTCAGCCTTCAGTCTGATGTACGTTTCCGCCATCGTCTCAAAGTTCCGTGCCATAATGTCAATGTCATCGGCGAAGCCAAGAAACTGGATGGACTTCCTGAAGATCGTGCCACTCGTGTCTATCCCAGCTCTTCTGATCACACCTTATAACGCGATGTTGAACAGCAGACACGAAAGTCCATCACCTTGCCGTAACCCCCTTCGAGATTCAAAGGGACTCGAGAGTGTCCCCGATACTCGAACAACGCACATCACTCGATCCATAGTCGCCTTGACCAATCGCGTCAGTTTATCCGGAAATCCGTACCCGTGCATAATCTGCCATAGCTGATCTCGATCGATTGTAGATTTACGTATTAAACTTTAATCAGTATGCTTCTTTTAGTTTTTGATTTCCTTTATTTCTTATCGATTTAAAGGTTTGGAAAATCCACCATAAAGGTTTATGTTGATATTTTATGGAAATATGGCATTTTTCAGAACAAACAGCCTAATTATCGACTGCTGAGTATAAGTATAAGACACTGAATAAGTTTTCATATTGTAGGCGAAATACGCGTATCTGTCAAGGATAAGCAAATATGGCAATGGCATTAAATGGAAATTACGAATCCTTCTATCTTTCTTTATATTGGTATTTCACTTAGATGCCCACATTCATCAGGATTAATTTATAGACTAAAATGAAATTGATATTTCAAGAAGGCATTAAACCTGCAATAGATGTTTTGTAAAATATGCCCAATAAGTTAAGTTGACTGTTAAGCGGGTTGCCACATTGACATTTTGACGAAATTGACCCACTTTCCCCTATGCAAAACTTCATTCAAATCGAAGAAGTTCGAATCTGATCGATTCGTCATGTGGCGCGGAACTGTTCATTATCTTTATCTGAATCGGTGATTTTATATGTAAGTAAGATAAGATAAGTAAGAAGAGCAAAATCTTACCATAGGTGGATGAATTCAGGTTTTTGCCTTACTCTAGGATTTTGAAAAAAACGTCCTAGTGATGACGCATAGGACCAACAAGCTTTCTTCTTGGCTTCCACTCTTTCGTAGTCCTGTTCACGTCGCCTTCTGATGACATCAACGATGGAGCTCGGCAGTTGAGATTCAGTTGTGAGTCCGTATTGAAAGAATGTCTTAGATTACGGACAGCCTTGCGACATCTTCTTCTTCTTCTTCGCATTACAAGCTTATTGCATATCGCATATTAGCTTAGTGCGTGCTCTCAACTTAGTGTTCTAGATGCACTTCCACAGTTATTAATTTAGAGCTTTCGATGCCTGTACCATTTTTGCATCGGTATAATTGTGTGGCAAGTCCAATCATACTTCTATGCCCAGGGAAGTCGAGAAATTTTCCAAAATTCCTAGACCGGACCGGGAATTGAACCCAGCCACCTCCAGCATGGTCTTGCTTTGTAGCTGCGCCTTTACCAACTGAGCTAAGGGAGGCCACTTGCGACATTCAATGACCCAAAAGAAGGAGTACTTGCACGGAGATTTTACTCTTGTTTAACTCGACAATCAATCGTGACATGCCAGATGGTTTCGAAACTGATTAATCAAAAGCATTAAGCGTGGAAGTAGTTTGCATTCTCAGGAGAAAAAAAAACAACGAATTATGCAGCACCAAAAAGCCAATTACCATGCTAATTAACAGAATTCATCCGAAAGCCGCTTGATTGTCTGCCTAGTTTTTCAAGCGAATCATCCTCGCCCGATGCTATTGTGCGCAATTTAGACATTTCAGCACTCATTTGAGATGTTAAATAGGCGCTGCAGAGGTACGATTGAGGTGGCTGCGATTCTCCATTGTTGGCTGGCCAATAAACAACCTAGCAAAATCAGCATATGAATAGATTGTACTTTGCACGTGTGTTTATGTATATATATATACATTTGGTACACACATGACGACACGGAGCCGTGCATTTCGCGATGTTGTCGTTTCATTGTTTGAATTTTGTTGATTTCATCGTTAAACTATTTGTTCATTGTTATTAATGTACTGTTTGTTTTGTTTCAGAACTTTCTCTTACACTAATCACAATCGCGGGATTTCTGTAATCAGGGCAGGTGAGTGGCATACAATTGTTCAGAATAAATCGTTCCCGTTCTATCTACTGTTCTTTATTTATTTATTTATTTCGTCAACCAACGTAGACTAGTACATATGAGAATACAGTTTTGTTTTCTTAAATTTATTTATTTATTTCGTCAACTTTGGACAAAAGGTTAAAAGTATAATTTTTTCTTTAATAAAAATTAAGCAGTGTCAGCTTTCCTATTTTTTATGAGTTATAATGCCTTATGGAGTAAAAATATTGTTTTAGTTTATGCCGAGACATTGTAAAGTCAATGGTTTCGCAGTATTGATTGTAAGAGGCCATCATGCGGTTTAATGGCCCATATTTTGCATAATTTGTACGATGATGTTTTATGGCAAATACATTTCGATTTCGGAGTTGCCGAGTAGGTGCATGGAAATTTAATTTTGATAAAAGTTCTGTGGAGTCAATGCGTTGCGAAACGATATCGTTTACAAATGAAACCATTGCATATTCACGACGCTCTTTTAATGTTTGTATGTTTATAAGCATGCAGCGTGCTTCATATGATGGAAGAGGAAATGATGTCCAACCTAATTTACGAAGAGCGTATAATAGAAATTGTTTTTGTACGGATTCTAATCTTTCTTCGTGCGTGATTGAAAAAGGAGACCATACAATGCTGCAATATTCCAGTATTGACCTCACATAGGCGATATATAGTGTTTTAATTGTGTATGGGTCCTGAAAGTTATAGCAAAAGCGCTTGATAAAACCTAGCATGTTATTTGCCCTGTGAATAATTGTGTTGTAATGGTCTATGATAGTTAGTTTAGAGTCTAAGATAATTCCTAAATCCCTAACTCTTTCACATTTTTCTACATTTTGATTTCCTAGTGCAATTGAAATATTTGAAGTTGTTCTTTTCCTGCTAAATGATATTAAGTTACATTTTTTTACATTCAATTCTAGTAGACTTTTTTTGCACCATATGTAGAATATGTGTATTTCATTCCGGAATATATTGATGTCTTCTTCATTTCTTACTTCTAAAAAGAGCTTCATGTCGTCGGCATAAATAAGACATTTAAGTTTTTTGAGAATGAAAGAAATGTCGTTTACGTATAGAATAAAAAGAAGAGGTCCCAAATGAGAGCCTTGGGGGACCCCTGAAGTGACTTGAATTGGACTCGATTTCTTTCCGTTGAATTTAATTATTTGTTGGCGGTTAGTTAAATATGATTCAAGCCATTTTAGGAGCCCTGACTCAATTCCAATTTTTTGCAATTTAAAAAGTAGCATTGGTATGTCTATGCGGTCAAATGCCTTGCTAAAGTCTGTATAGAGAGCTTCTACGTCATTATCCATTGCATTCAATGAATAGTCTATAAATTCAAGTAAATTTGTCGAGGTCGAGCGACCCTTGAAAAAGCCGTGTTGCATTTCAGTAATTCTATCTTTGATTTGGAGAAATAATTTTTCGTTGACAATTGCCTCGAAAAGTTTAGGAATGCAAGAGATAATGGCTATACCACGATAATTACGTACGTCAGATTTTCGGCCAGATTTAAAGATAGGCACTAGGAATGAGCTTTTCCAAGTTTTTGGGAAGGTTCCAGATTCCAGGGACATATTAAAAATCCAGAACAATGGAGCAGTGAGTTCCATTGCTAGACATTTAATAAAAACTGGAGGAATTCCGTCAGGTCCAGGACCTTTTGAGGCGTCTAAATTTTTTAAAGCCTGCAAAATATCCTGCACTTGAAGTTGATTGAGGCCAATGTCCCTTGAAAATTCTGGAAAAAATGCAAAATAATCGCGGTCGCGATCTTCTTCAGAAAATGTCGTATAGATTTCTTGAAAAAATTTTGCAAATAGATTGCAGTTTTTTTCCGAGCTATCACCGACATTTTCGTCGAGTTGCATTATTGAAGGAAAATTGTCAGATTTTAATTTGGTTTTTACGTAATTAAAGAAGTTCTTTGGACAGGACTTTATTTCATGTTCTGTTTTTGCATTATATTCTTCAAATGCAGTACTGATAGCTAAATTCAGTTGATCGCATAGATCCAAATAAATTAATAAATTATTACTACTATTGTGTTTTTTATAAATTTTATGTGCTTTTTGCTTCCGATTTTTCAAGTTTTTTTATTTGTCAATGTGGAAGTCAATCTATTTAGTTTAGTGTTGATTTTTTGCGGAACTCATTTTCTCATTAGATGTGCCAATGAACCAATCCAAGCGTTCTGGATATTGCCGTAAGTGCTATTTCAGGGTGGCCATAATTCTCGGAAAACACTAACTAACGAGACGCGAGTGGACCGTAATACTATTATCTATGTAAGTTATTCCGTCGCCAACGACGACGTCGGAAGAGCCCCCGCTTCTGGCTCTTGGAAGTGGTTACGAACCGATCTGTTACGAAGAGCAACGACAAATCTCGTTGTATACTTTCTTCTCGAAGACGACGGCGGCGGTGTCACCTTCCGCTCAGAACTTAGATACGAAGACTACGGACGGACAGGGACATCGTCATCAGAGGGAAAAAAGATCTAAATTAATATTTATTTACATATTCAAACTCATTCATCTTGGTCCTGATTCGTTCGGTAAGAGCTTTCCACGTCTTCTCAGGGTCGGCAACATTCAAAGCAGCACGCAAATGTTTGCGTCTGACTCCAAGGCAAGACCTTTTTTTTTCCAGCATACACAATTGCTTGCATTATCATTTCAAATAGGCTTCCGATTGGGGTGTTCACTTGCCTGAAGAATTCCCTACGACGACACATTTTTTCAACATCCCAACCCAAACTCGCCCAAGATGCGACCGTAAAAGTCAATGAAAATATTTACTCCTCTTGAGAGTTTGAATTTCACATATCTCTTCCACATATGCGTGCGTGTACAAACGATGAGGCGTCTTTTCGTGGAATCCGTAAACAACCTAAAACCTTCGCTATCTTCCCTATTTTGGTGAAGAGAACTAGTTTTACATTTTTCTTTTTTTTTTAATTCATCCGGTTCTCCATCGGAGGACTGGTTTTTGGGAAAAGCAGGTTGATATGGGTCACGTGTGTGTGGCTGAAAATCTGGGTGACAGTGCAGCATGAGGCTTTGTGCATCGTTCCAACTTTGATTTGAATGTTTTTGGATGGGGGAATTACTGGTGCTGGGAAAGAAGTGTCGTTGTTTGTTCTGGTGATGGATGCACGGTTCTTGAAAAGTTTAAGCCTTACTCCAAGAACTTTATGTAACCGCGAGTTATCGGTCCACTCCTACTAGACGTAGTCTAATACCAAGGCAAAAATTTCATCTTTCAGAAGAGATTACTCTACAACCAAATAAGCTATTTGTGATCTTAGAACGTCAATCTAAAGGTTTTTTTTTAAATTTAGTTTCGTAAAGGTGTACCCACATTTTATTTTTGTTGTGGAAACTACAGTAAGCAGAGAGATTACCGGCAGGAATCCAAATTGTCAAAAAATGGCCTAGTTGCACCATGGACGGGATTTTTAATTTCTTAATATTATGGGCTCAAATTTTCACCACACTTTGGAAAACTCTTTCAATGTGTTTTGTTTTGTAGATCTAAAACAACAGGAATTAACACAAACGTTTTTAAGACATGACAATCAGTTTTAAAGAAGCAGCTTTACAATCAAATCAATTGAATGTTGAAGTTTAACACCTACTTAATTTCCCACTTTAATAAAGTTTAAAAAAAAGTAGAAGGGTCTGTGCCTAGGGGCACGAACGGAAGCTTGACGTAGGACCGCTAGTGGACGGAACAAATGTGAACATTAAGTTCTTTTAATTGATAAATCATCAATTATAATAACTCTTTCCGTTTTTTATTTGTAAGCGTATCAAATTTGTAGTATTTATTTCAAAGAGAAATTTGATGAAGAGAATCCAAGGGACTGTCAACTTGAGTATTTTCGATACATTTACCCGACTTTAAAAGGTGTATTTTGAATTTTTAAGTTTTGTGCATTTTGGTATTAAAGGATTTCCTTCCGCATTATATGAATGGGGCGGGGCGGAAAGTATCGTTTGTACAGAATATGTAAAAAAGGAGGGACTTCGAGAGATTGAACTCGTGAAAGCTAATTTTCTCACAAATTTGATTTTATTGGCTTTCTGGGGACTGAATATACACCCAAAGCGAATTATTCCCACATCTCTCAAATTCTATATGGATTTTTAACACTTCCTACCAGCGTGTTCTGGAAACTGGTCGGACGATGATTAATCTGACTAATACATTCGGGCCTACAATTCCACACCTTCTATAGAGACCAGGTTGAGCCTTGATAAGCTAGCTGCTTGCGGGAACTGATGACCTTGACAAATGTCTAAATAATACTCTTAACTAATTTATGGTGGTCCTGAAAAGGACCGTTTTGTAGTGATGGTTGAGTAATGCTGAGCTGAGCACGACGAGCTACTGATTCCGATCCTAGCCTAGCGATGGGACTTCTTCCTCCTTCTCTATGGTTGCTAATATGAGCTCTGCAGCTCGCTGCTTGCAAGCAGGCTTTCGTTGTTGTTGTTATTGTTGCTGTTGTTATTGAAAGCACTCCTGCTGCTGCTGCTGGACTGGACACCACCACTTACGGTGATTGAATGAACACCGTTCAGTGGGACCGCATGGAATTCGAGTTTTAAATCTGTGTTAGGGAATGCGATGTTTTCAGACATTTAGTGATAATTTTGACCACCATTGCAACAGTTGGACATTTGGTATTTTTCAATAGTGAGGTATTGAAAATTAACTAAGTGTTCATTTTAGCAGATTTGTAGATAAATTTCAAATCGTTTGGCTTGTTTATAATTAAAATCTATCAGCTATTGGTCGAAACCTAACCTCTTTTCGTAATGCTGTGCATTTTGGTTTTTTGAAATTGCGTGGATTCTATAGATCCTGTGGAGATCTATCTAGCCCTGATGTATGTGTTGGTAGAGGGAAAAATGTAAACTTTGCGGGAGACGATGTCTTAACACTCGAAAGCAATTTTGTGAAAT